CCATGAGGGTGGGGAGACCCTGGCACAGGTTGCCCAGAGAGGGGGTGGCAGCCCCATCCCTGGGAGTTTTTCAGGCCAGGCTGGATGGGGCTCTGGGCAGCCTGATCTAGTGGGGGATGTCCCTGCCCATGGCAGGGGGTTGGAACTGGATGAGCTTTAAGGTCCCCTCCAACCCTGACAATTCTACGATTCTATGATCCCAACTCTCCCAGACCAGGCTGGAGGTTCAACCTGTGCCATCAAACTCCTGTCCCAGACCTGCTGCCTTCCACTTTCTCGATGTGACTCTCTTTTTTTTAAACAATAAAAGACCAAAAAAGTCCCACCCTACTTGCTCTACAAATACATTTCAGAGCAGACATGAGCAGCAAAGCGAGAAAGGACCCATGGACCTGCCGGGAGGGCTTGGACAAGGTGATGCTCCTCAACTTCCTCGTCCTCCCACCACCTGGGTCTCCACAAAGCTCATTGACCTCCGAATAAAGACACCAGGGCTCTGCAACAAGAGGTACCAAGGGAAAACCATGGTGCTCCAACAGCAGAAGCATCTCAGCCTGCAAAGGAATTAAGCCCGTAAATAACGTGCGTTTAACGACTCTCTGTGCACGTAAAAAGCACGAAGTAGTCCTCATTTTTCTCGCCTCTATCCTGGTCCCCGTATCCATGGGGCTGAGAAACTTCCGAGCTACTTGACGCAAACCAGAGCCGTGGCCCGACCGTGACGGGGGCGTGCGGCTCCACCACTGGAACGAACGAGGAATAAAAAAAAATGAAAATAAGAAAAAAAATCCATATTCCATCGTCTTCTTTTGTGGCTTTTATTTTCTTTTGTATTCGCTTTGGGAATAACATTCTTTCCATTGGGAAGAGCCTGATTTTCCATTAAATACAAAGCAGCTGCCATTTTGGAAACAAAAAGCTGATTAACTACAGATTTATTTTGATTTTATTTTTTTCCCCCTAACGTACGAAGGGGTTAGAACCACACTTCTTTCTGCTGATTTATCAGGGCAAAGCATCTGCCAGTTAGGGCAGGAGGAAGGCTTGACAAGAGTGAACTAAACCGCTTCATCTTTACTGTATAATTTGACAATTATAATTAGATGTTAGAAACACAAGGGGGAAGATCTCGAGGCTCAGAGCACGCTCATCCTCACGGCAGAGCCCGAGGGTTTCTCACCCTTCGCACACACAGATTCCCCGTTTTGCGCAGATTTCTGCTCGCCGAGACGCCGAAGGAAGGGCTGGCACGTCGCCGTGACGTACGGCCACCGGTTGGAAACGCAACCGATGCACGACTTCAGTCCCAGATGTTGAACAGATTGGGAAAAAGGATGAGCTCAAAAAACAACAGCAAAAAAAAAAAACCAACACCACCCACTCCATTTCCACTCCATGAGCCATCAACGCCCAATTTGGGAGATTTTTTTTAAATTTTTTTTTTTCCACGCTGAAAGAAAGCTGTGGAGAGGTTGGGGCTGGTCTCTTCTCACGGGTAATGAGCGATAGAACCAGAGGGAACGGCTGCAAACTGCAACAGGGCAGGGTCACACTGGGCATTAAGAAAAAAGATTTCCCAGCAAGAGCAGTGCGAGCTTGGCACAGGCTGCCCAGGGAGGTGGTGGAGTCCCCATCCCTGGAGGGGTTTAAAGCTCGTTGAGATGCGGGGTTGGGGGAGATGGGTCAGGGCTGAGCTTTGTAGAGTAGAGTTAGTGGTTGGGCTCAATGATCCCAAGGGGATTTTCCAACCTGAATGGTTCTATGATTCTGTGATTTTATGACTCTATGATTCTACGATTCTGTGATTTTATGACTATGATTCTACGATTCAGAGCTGACCAACACAAGTACGAAAATTCACCTCGTTTCACATTTCTCCAAAATCGAAACCTTACATTAAATTTCCTTTCTCAGTATCGAGGCGTTACGGTTAAAAACCACAAGGCTCTGCACTTTCAAACGCTTTTTTTGCTCTCTCTTGCCATTACACTGAACGCAGCCTGTGAGATCCAGGGAGAACGTATCTCTGGAGACTTTCAAAACCTGTCTGGACGCGTTCTTGTGTGACCCTCGCTAGGGCATCCTGCTCTGGCAGAGGGGTTGGACTAGATGATCTTCTGAGGTCCCTTCCAACCCTAAACATTCTATGATTCTATGATTCTCTGTGTGGAGGCACCTCTAGGATTTTCACGAAACGACGCGTCCTTCATTGCAGCCACTTCAACCACACGCACAGAGTTCAACCACGCTTGCGTTTGACTATCAGCTCCCAACGCGGTCCCACCGCTTCTCTGCGCAATCTCAACTCAAGTGCCCCCTGCCAAGGACATTAAACGTGAAGGTTGGGCTCCTCTAGGACAGGTGAGTCTACTCCTCTGGGTAGGTTAAAGGAGGTAGTTGGGGGTTTTGGAAGCAGATGTGGCTTTCATCGACATTCCTCTGCACGTTCACAACTTAAAAGCCTCACAAGATTTTGGGTTGCCACTGGATGACGTACAAGGGAAGAATAAAACCACAAAGTCTATTTTTTCCCTTCAATTTGTAAAGGAGGGGAAGGAAAAAACCACACTCCTAACTTCTGTTTGGGTTCCAGTGCAGGAGGCAGCAAGCACGCTTGGATTCTTTACGCCGGGGATGGGTTTTTGGCTCCCCGTCCCACATATCTAAACCTTTGTGTACGTACGTGAGCGCAGAACTAAGAACCAAGTAGCTTTATGAATCCAAGTTTGTAAAATAAAAATCAAAGCCAAACATGACTTACACAAAGGGAAGCAACACCTAGGGAAGCGCGCACACCCTGGTTTAAAGGATTTATGGGACTGGGCATTTCAGCTTAATTTTCAAAAGTGCTGAAAGTAGACAAGAAACCACGTAATTACAAGATAACTTGGCTTAGCCGGCTTCGAGTTAACTAGCGCTCCTGGGTTAATAAGGGGTCAGCTTTCTCCTCGGCCAAAAAAGCTAAATTTGCCATGTTTGAACACTTTAAAGCAACCGTCAGTTCTTCTTCCCACCCTTTCACTTTGATCAGGATTGGGGATTTCGGGAGGCACTTGAGAAGACCAAGAAAGTAGCGCAACAGCCACCAGACCACGGCACAGGACTACGCAGCCGTGTACATCTCTCCACCTCGTTTTAGGGGCATTTTGCCCAACCTTCAGGGCAAGCTGGTCCAAGCAACCCCCCCCAAGAGACTCAAGACCATCTTTGAAGAGCAGATGAAGCCTCCTGAGGACCGTACAGGGAGGAGTGTGGATGCTGTTCGTGCTTTGGCCGTGTCTGCATCCCAGGCAGCTTTTTTTTTTTTATCGTGTGTCCATATCTACGACACCGAGAAACTTCCAGGATTAGCCACCAGACATTCTGAACTCCCTGACAATTGCTCCTGCTACTTTGTGCAAGCCGATTTTTATTTGGCGGTGTCTTTTAGACGGGCAGATTAGTGATTTATTTCCACCTATTAATACAAACTACCTAGAGAACAGAAAATTAGAGGGGTTAAAAGGAAAATTAGAGTCCGTTGCAGTTAAAACCAAACCCAACTACGAGCAGGCTTGCAAAGTGCCACCATATAAAGGGATTACTCCATTCCTGACCCTTTCCAGGGGACCTCCAGGTATTATTTTTCACTGATTTACCTTAATGAAACTAATGCACCCCTCTCCGTAGGAAGCTGACTCCATAGCTGTCTAGGCACTGGATTCAATTAAAAGAAATAAATACATCTGGCTTCGAAACGATCGAAAGCCTCGACAAAGCCAGAGGCAACGGGAGTTCCTGCGTCCGTCTCTCTTAGGGGAACGTCCTGAAAACACCGCGGAGGGACGGTCGACATCCAACCCCAGCTCCTGGAAGCCCGAAGCATCCCTGCCCGCTCCCCAGCAGCTCCCACAGCCCCGCTGGCAACTGAGCCCCGGCTTTGATGGAAGCTGGCCTCAAATTGCTTTAACAAGGCTCTTTCTTTCCAGAAGCTGGCGTTGATTTGAGACCTTCGATGTTGACTTAGAAAGCCCCAGGTGCCCAGAGCCTGCAAACAGTCAAGGCTTAGCTCCGCTCAGTTTCCAGGAAAAAAAAAAGGGTGCAAGCATCCAACCGCGGCGGCACGTCGTATCGATGCTACCGGCGTTAAAACGAAGAGC